ATAAAACCTTTAGATGGGAGCGGTACCTACCACCTAGGAATCTCTTTCTTGATTACTTGTGCATTTTTATGCATATAACTTCACTTGTTAATAATTGTCAGTTCTTGTTGTGCGTTCCCACTTGAGACTCTCATTAGACAGGGTTGAAGCTTACAGTTGCATCTTTAGTTAAACAAATGCATGTTTGTAGTGAACCATCATATGCAGTCTTATTAATATCGAATGCTCAATTCTTTTGGCGTTGTCGTAATGGATATACCTTTTCGCAAATATTTCTTTTAATAATCAGTTATGTATGTTTCTTGGTACTCCGGATGATTTAAGCGTAGCACTATTTGACTCACAGGGAAAGGAATGAAGACTGGAGAACTACCTGGTGCAGCATTACTATGTCTGTCTTTTAGTCCCAGAGATGTGAAGTTTGGGTCATCAAGAGTAAGAATATTTAACTTTCTACTAGGAGATTTTCGACACTAAGGCGTACTGAGTTGGTTTATTTGAATCGCAGAGCTTTCGTGATATACATGGTCAGTACGAGGAGGCATTTAGAGTAGTCGTCAAATCTCTCCAGCTCTCAAGAAATATCTCCCTTGCACTTATTTCATTGCAATCACTGAAAGCTTTTATGCGGCGATGGATGAAAGCTAATATATTGTCCATTGATGCAACGGCTACAGAATTATCATCTGATAAATCTTCTAAAGCTGCAAACAATATCATGAAGGTTTGTGATAGTGTCTTCATGTGGCAGCTTAGTTCAAAAATTTTAGTTTAAAGTTTTCAAATCTTCATTGAGATGCTGCTGTGTTAATCATGTAGAGTTTGGTATACATGGCTGAAGAAAGCCTCCCCAGGTCTGCAGAAAACATAGCACTGGCGCTGGGTGCATTATGTGCGGTAAGATTTTTTACAATTGTCCTGCCAAATCTGCAGTAGCGAAGTTTCTCAATATATGTTTGAATCTGTTCATTGTTTCAGGCTTTGCCAGCTGCTGCTCATAATATTAAAGCAACTGCATCAAAATATCTGTTGGGTTGGTTGTTGGAGCATGAGCATGAACACCGTCAGTGGACTGCTGGTATATCTCTTGGATTGATTTCGTCGTCTCTTCACGTGACTGATCACAAGCAGAAATTTCAGAATATATCCGGGCTTCTTGAGGTACTGTTTATACCTATGAGTTAACTGCGCCACATACCATACTGGTCAATATAATCTTTTATGAAAACGCATACTAGTAGTAAATTTGAAGAGTACGCATGTAAAATCAGTCTTGGTCCTTCTCACTGATTTTTTGTTCTCTTTGAAGTAAGCATGCAGTTAAAAATATTATTTTTATCATGTATTTTATTGGTCTAAAAATTGCTTTCAGGTTTTGTGTAGCAGTAAAAGCACTCTTGTAAAAGGAGCCTGCGGGGTTGGATTGGGTTTTTCATGCCAAGATCTGCTCACTCGGAATGAAGCCTCTGCGAGCTCTGATATAGACAGTGAGTCCTACAAGACCCAAGAAGAACGGCTCTTAGGAAGGATAGTGAGGTTGCTATCTTCAATATTACATCGCTTCCTGCACACTCCGTGTGATATCCTAGATAGTTTGTCTGCACTGTTCCCACCTGGAAAGGAAGACAACGTTACAGGTTTACCTCAGCTGTTAGATGAGAATTCGGATGATTTTGATGATGATACATGGGGTATTGCTGGACTCATCATAGGTTTGGGGATGTCAGTTGGTGCACTATACAGAGCTGGGAAGAAAGGTGCTGTTGTGATGATTAAAAACCTGATCGTATCATGGATCCCATATGCAGATTCCCTTAAGCAATCTCCAGGTTCTAATAGTAAGGTATCAGTGAGAGTTTTCTCAGTCGGTTCCTGCCTTGCACTCCCGATTGTGATCACTTTCTGCCAAAAGGTGGAACTGTTTGATTCACATGAGGTCGATAATCTGATCAACTGTTTCAAGGACCTTATTTCTGAGTTGCTAAGTGCTAAAAAGTCTGGTGCTTTTCATAATAGTTTGTTGATAGCTTCCTGTATTGGGGCTGGAGACCTCCTTGGTTCTGTTTTGAATGAAGGTATCCACCCTGTGGAGGTTGAGTCTGTAAAAGGCTTACTAGAAATGTTCAAGACATGTTACTCTGGACTTTACCCACCAGTTGTTCACTTTGGTGGAATGCTCGGAGTTGTTAATGTTTTAGGAGCAAGTGCTGGAAATTTGGTGTGTTCCCATCCTCTACCTCGTGCTCCTTCTTCCAGTTCTGAGGAAAACGTAAGTTCTCTGGTCTTTCTCTGAGATCCTTTCTGTTTTATTCGCCATCTAGATAAATGTGAATGGGTTCCTAACATCAATTTATATTGCTGCAGGAGATCTCTTGGGTATCAGGTCCTTTGCTTTCAAACTCATACTTTACTCAGCAGTTGACGCCAGTTGTGCAAGAAATATTCCTTATCGCACAGAATACCAAGGATCGCCAGCTGCAACATTATGCTGCATGGGCAATATCAATTCTTAGAAACTACATGCGCTACGGGGAAGCGTCAAGTCTGAGCAATGAAATCCAGTCTGATGACTCTCACCGTAATCCCACCTCTCACAATGTTCCTGAGCATGCCATGGTTATGAAACTGGCTCAAGGCCTGACAAATCCAAGTTTGCCTTTGGTATGTCTGCTTAAAAGCTTTCTTATTGTTCTAGCCCTCTCTAATCCTTGATGGTTGGGATATAAAGAAAAACTTGAAATTGTTCAATCTTAGGTTCCGTTAGATTGATGCAATAGTCAACTAAAAGATGATAGAGATCTCCATCTGTTCTCATACTAATTAATCTTTGTTGACATTCAGGTGGGTGGCGCTCTGAACATTGGTACAATGGCAAGTGCTTTGCGGTGTTTGTCTCATGCACCAAGATTGCCAAACCTAGACTGGGGAGCAACAATAAGGCGATTAATGAAACAAGAGACTCAGACTGGTGTATCGCAATCAGGAGATCTTCCCAAGGAAAAAACTCTTAGGGAAGAGTGCTTCAAGTTTTCATTAGTCCACGCAAGCGAATTTGATGAACTGCTAGCTTTTCTGGACGAGTTGTCTGAACTATCCAGATTTAAAGCACTAGAGCAGAGTCTTCAGTCATGCCTGCTCTGTCATTTAGGGGATTTAATAAGAATATTCTCAGGTTCAAGAATGGATAAATTGTTTGATGATATCTCTTGCTTCGTAATCTCGCTATCTTCAGACCAAGTATATGGCTGTGATCAGAAAAGCTCATTGAGGGTCTCTTGTTGGAAGGGTCTGAGTCAGTGTCTCGAAGAAACTTCGGTTGAATCTTCAAACTACATCACAAAGATTGAAAAATGCATAGAGTTGCTTTTTGCGATCTTACCAGTAGCATCACAATCTCCAAAAGCAGCTGAGACGGGTCCGGCTAAAGAATGGTCAGAAGCACTTAGATGTTTGCAGAAGTCGCGTCGGGATTGGTTATACAAATTTCTACAGGTGTGTGTGTGTAATAGTATCTGCTTCATGGACAAGCTTGTAAATTGTAATGTATGTATCATCTTTGTGTACATCTCGCCATATAACCGAGATTTTTCTCGCATACAGGTTTCAAGTCTTGAACCTGGAAAAGGAAAGACCGACTTCCAAGGTGATCTAAAGAAGATCCAGGCAAAAGCTAAGCTAGCAAGACTTGGCTCAATTCCATTTTCCGAGTTAGGAAAATTGAAGGCTATTGTATTAAATTGTGAACAGTCAGGTCAGTTACTATCCTCAATCGCTGCTATATGCGAGCTAGATACAATCAAAGGTCATGAAATAATCAAAGTTTTCGTCTTTGTTAGATATGTGGGATGTGCACATCGAGATAGTAGCGGCTCTGTATCACGCAGAAGGAGGAATCAAAAGACAGTGGCTCATTGATGCTGTTGAAATCAGCTGTGTTTCTAGCTATCCCTCAAATGTAAGACATAGCATTGTTAAGATCTCCTCCATCGAAAGAGATTATCTTTTTCTTAAATGTTTAATTTGGTTTTTCTCCTTCTGCAGGCTATTATCTTTGTTGGCCTCCTCTCTAGCATCTGCTGTGAATACATGCCGTTTCTCACTTTAGACCGATCCACGGTTTTGAGCGATATGTCAGTTACCGTAACTTCTCTCCTCTCTGATCCCAACTGGGAAGTGGTCGCAGAGCCTTTCATCTCGTTTCTATGGATATCATTGGAACGTGTTTACAGATTTGCAACTGACACAGATGCTAATGCAAGGCCAAGCTCACAGCCAATAGAGCAAAGCGAAAGAGTTTGTGCGCCAATGCTTGTGAAGGTGATGCATCACATTTGTGTAGCCTTCAGAGACCATCTGCCTCTTGAGAAACAGCTTAGACTTGCTGCTATGACCATCCCTTGATTCCTTTTAAGTTTTTTCTTCTTGTTTGTTTAGGAGACTACAAGTTTGGTGTATCTTTGTGATAATAACTAATTTGCCTTGTGTATATGTCTAGTGTCTACTAATATACATTTTGCTTAGGATACTCCTGTTGTAAATTTAAAGAATTTTATGTTCTGATGTTTTTTTTCCTATCAATCATGGAAAAAAGAAGTAATTTGTTCGTAATCTTATCATCGCAATCGCAAGCATAGCCAATAGCCAATAGCCAATAAGAGAAACCGCATGACTGTGTCGGCACTATCCTCTTTGGCACAAGATCTTCCCCTACCACCTGGCACAACCATAGCCTCTACACCAACACTATCCTCTTTGGCACGAGATCTTCCCCTTCCACGTGGCACAACCATAGCCTCTATCTATCTACAACACCACGTGACAAGTCAGAGAAAATCTAAAATCAACCAATCACAACTCGATGACTTGTCCATATGCTAATCTCTATCAAAATGAACATCTTCGGATCTCTATTATAAAATCTAAATTCAACATTGTAGACACCAACAACAATCTCATCTCAGTATATTTCTTCTTCCTTTGAAAGTTAAGATAAAAAAAGAATGGCTACTTCAGCAATCCAACACTCTTCCTTCGCCGGCCAAACGGCCCTCAAGCCTTCCAACGATCTCATCCGCAAAGTCGGAGCTGCAAATGGCGGTGGCCGCGTCGTCATGCGACGTACTGTCAAGTCTACTCCTCAGAGCATCTGGTGAGTAATCCGATCTCTCTCCTCTTGTTTACTCTAATTCAAAGCGAGACTTAAGGGGCTGCTTTTAGTTTTCTCTTTAGATTATCTTAAAAGTGAACCTATTGTGACCATATTGAATCTCGGTTTGGAATTTAGTTAGATCGGTTCTTTCGCTTTGGTTTTGACCGGTTTAGCCGGATTAAACAACCAACCCGTTTTTGCTAGCTCAATTTTGATATGATTTTATTCACCAAAACATTTAATTGTGTGACAGGTACGGACCAGACCGTCCCAAGTACTTAGGACCATTCTCGGAGAACACACCGTCGTACCTAACCGGAGAGTACCCCGGAGACTATGGCTGGGACACTGCTGGTCTCTCCGCCGACCCAGAAACATTCTCAAAGAACCGTGAGCTCGAAGTAATCCACAGCAGATGGGCTATGCTCGGCGCCTTAGGCTGCACCTTCCCAGAGATTCTGTCCAAAAACGGAGTCAAATTCGGAGAAGCCGTGTGGTTCAAGGCAGGATCTCAGATCTTCTCAGAAGGAGGGCTTGACTACCTCGGAAACCCTAACTTGATCCACGCGCAAAGCATATTAGCTATCTGGGCTTCTCAAGTTGTGCTCATGGGTTTGATCGAAGGGTACAGAATCGGAGGTGGACCTCTCGGTGAAGGACTTGACCCGCTTTACCCGGGTGGAGCCTTTGACCCGTTGAACTTAGCGGAAGACCCGGAGGCGTTCTCGGAATTGAAGGTGAAGGAGCTCAAGAACGGTCGTCTTGCAATGTTCTCCATGTTCGGATTCTTCGTTCAAGCCATTGTTACTGGTAAAGGTCCAATCGAGAATCTGTTCGATCATCTTGCGGATCCTGTGGCTAACAATGCATGGTCTTACGCCACCAACTTCGTCCCCGGAAAATAGATCAATCTGATCGTATGTTTTTATGTATCTTGTTTTTAACATCTAATGTGTAATATGAATTCGATGTTCTTGCTTTGGTCAAATAAATTCTCGTGAGTTGAGGCTTTTAGCCTTTTGTTATTTGTTTGATCAAGAAATTTGTTAACGAAGAAAACCATTACTCACAGGTGAGACGCGTATTATCATCCCCTATAAGCCTTGGAAAAGTTTATAATAAAAAGAGGGTTGATTGGTTACACAAAATTAAATAAAAAGAGGGTTGTTTACCATATACCTAAACCCACAACTAGATACAAACTTGCCAATTCTCGATCTTACCTCAACCGTTGAACATTGGCTTGCCGTGAAGAAGATTATTTGGTTTCTTGCTGGCACCGTGAATGCATGTGTCTTTCTTGCTAGTGATGACTGATGATGACACTATAAATTTATGTACGAACTAGGCTGATAAAAATGATGACGATTATAATTCTATATAATATATTTATATATACATCCACCAAAGCTCGTGTAGTGTTTCATATGTGATGTTCATGGTCTTCCAAAAACCAAATGGTGTTGCTCGGTAATTGTAACGCGTAGAATATAGATCCGTTCCTAATGCTGATGAATCAGAAGTTCAATGGATCTCCTCTTTTAGCTGAAATCATTATCTCTACTGTGAGAATATTGGACTTGCTTACCACGACGTCATCATAGACCACATACAGTCTAGACAGCTCCGTGATAGCCATGTTTCTTCCGTCCATTAGCTTGTAGATATTTCTCCCAAGACCGTTAACATGCATGTGTGGCAACTGGCAATAGTCCATGCTACAATAATAAAATCCCGTTTCCCCTGCCAACAGACTTTTTCTGTCCTCTCTTTTGTCTTTTCTATTTTTTTGTTCTCACATTTTACTATAAGAAGAAGAAAAACTTCGGAAAAAACGTTATAATATGACATGGGCTTTATTTTTACGTTTTTCCGATATAATAAAAGTTTATTCTTATCATCGCAATCGCAAGCATAGGGAAGAGCCAATAAGAGAGACAGCATGAGTGTGTCGGAACACTATCCTCTTGTGCAAGACTGCAAGCGTTTCGTTCACCCCACAAGATTTTCCACAGCCACGTGTCACAACGACAACCTCTACTTATCTCCTGCACCTAAATCGACATTATGGAAATCTAGAAACAACCAATCAGAACTCGCTGACTTGTCCATCTGCTGATCTCTATCAAAATGAACACCTTGAAATCTCTCTATTATAAAAACGATGACCCAATTCATATGCATAACACCAACAAGTCAACAACATCTCATCTCACTCACTTATTTATTTTTCCTTAGTGTTTTCCTTTGAAAGTTAAGATAAAAAAGAATGGCTACTTCAGCAATCCAACACTCCTCTTTCGCCGGCCAAACGGCCCTCAAGCCCTCCAACGATCTCCTCCGCAAAGTCGGAGCTGCTAACGGCGGTGGCCGCGTCGTAATGCGCCGTACCGTCAAGTCTACTCCTCAGAGCATCTGGTTCCTACTCCAAACTCTCTCCTCTTGTTTACTAATTCAAAGCGAAACTTTTTCGTCGATTTAATCCGGCTTCTAGTTTTCTTTTCGGTTATCTTTAAAGTAAATCCATTTCCGTTCGGAATTTCACTACATCGGTTATTTCGGTTTGGTTTTGTTTCCTCAATTTTGATATAATTTTTTGCTCAACAATATTTAAATTTGTACCTAAAGGCAAAAACAAAAATGTGACAGGTACGGACCAGACCGTCCCAAGTACTTAGGACCATTCTCGGAGAACACACCGTCGTACCTAACCGGAGAGTACCCCGGAGACTACGGCTGGGACACCGCTGGTCTCTCCGCCGATCCAGAAACATTCGCAAAGAACCGTGAGCTCGAGGTAATCCACAGCAGATGGGCAATGTTGGGAGCTTTAGGCTGCACGTTCCCAGAGATTCTGTCCAAAAACGGAGTCAAATTCGGAGAAGCCGTGTGGTTCAAGGCAGGATCTCAGATCTTCTCAGAAGGAGGGCTTGACTACCTCGGAAACCCTAACTTGATCCACGCGCAAAGCATATTAGCTATATGGGCTTCTCAAGTTGTGCTGATGGGTTTAATCGAAGGGTACAGAATCGGAGGTGGACCTCTCGGTGAAGGACTTGACCCGCTTTACCCGGGTGGAGCCTTTGACCCGTTGAACTTAGCTGAAGACCCAGAGGCGTTCTCGGAACTGAAGGTGAAGGAGCTCAAGAACGGTCGTCTTGCAATGTTCTCCATGTTCGGATTCTTCGTTCAAGCCATTGTTACTGGTAAAGGTCCAATCGAGAATCTGTCCGATCATCTTGCGGATCCTGTGGCTAACAATGCATGGTCTTACGCCACCAACTTCGTCCCCGGGAAATAGATCTATTTGATCGTATGTGTTTTCATGTATCCTTGTTTAATATTTTAACAATCAATGCCAAATATTAAATATATATGTTGGTTCGATGTTCTTGCTTTGGAGTTTGGACCTTTGGTTAAAATAATTATCGTTAGCTATGTCTATGAGAGGCACTTGTCTGTTATTTGATCTAGAAATTTGACGAACCAGAAAAAAGTATCCACCATCACAGTATTAACGTAAACGTCAACAAATGACTTTATCTATTACTAATAAAAGTTGAGCCTATATGCATTAGAGGCTGTCCACCTAGGATTTAAAAGGTTGAATTTGATTGGTCCATGTCATTATTTTTTTTTTTTGCTTTTAAATTAATTTATGTAAATTTTCTATTTTACATATTATTTATTAATTAAGTTTTTCATTTTAAAACTGAATTATAAGTTTCCTATTCATAGATTATCTAAATTTACATATATTATTAGTATTAGTTTCTTTTTTAGTGGAAAATTTACACATGTTTTAAGTAATTATAGAAATAAATTTCCTATTCAGCCAAAAAGATGCTATGGTGTAGCGGTTATCACAATTGTCCTAAACTCAACAGGTATCGAGTTCGATCCTTTGCAGTCCCCTGTTTTTTTTTAAACCGTTTCAAAAATAATTATATGGACATTGCCATTAGGTTACCACAAAAAAAAAAAAAATCAGACATCGGCATCTCCAAAACGGGATCTGCTACATCTTCTTCCCCTTTTTTCTACAAACCCTAAAACTGCATCTCACAAAACTCTCTCTCTCTCTCCACCGTCAAACAACAAAAATTCATTCTTCATTTCCCAGATTTCGTAAATCGAATTGGATTTATTTTGCCCTAAACTCCCTATTTCGCATTGTTGCAAGTTTGAAGCTTCAGTACAACTTCAGTTGAGGGAGTATTAGACCAAAAATGGAGAAATTCGGAATCTATTACTAAGATAAGTCTTGTGATTTGACTGTACAATTCGGCTGCTTTAATTTCTGGCGAATTTAAGATTGCTTCTTGGCATTTTTTTCTTATTTCTTCTTCCAAATTTATTTCTTGGTTTCATTATTTCGTTTTAGTCTAGAAGATTCTTGAAAAACAAATTGGATATTGTTTGATAAAGATTAGGATTTGGATAGTTCCTATTTTTGTAATTATCACTTCTCTAATTTCCTTATTGTACAATGACATTGATATACATTGATTCCTTTTTCCATTAGGAATAAGATGATCTTAAATCCTATATATACGTGGTCTTATTGCCACATGAAACCAAGTTCAGAATATACATTCACATCTCTCAATCGATTTTTATAAGCCATGGCAAATTCATGCTCTTCTGTTTCTAATCAGTTAAGCCATACTTTGGTTTTCGATGATCTAAAAAAAGGTTTCAACAATAATGATTTGCTTGTCAGAGTCATCCACTTTTGGGAGGCACGAAACGTTAGAAAAGGCGGATTACTCATGGGTGTAGAACTCCTTCTCATGGATCAGAAGGTACTTAATCAAAGGATTTTAAAGAAAAAAATTGAACCTGAAGGCTAAGGACGTTTGATCTCTGTAAAAACAAGAAAACCAAACAAAAAAGGGGTAAAGTCAATGAGAAGAGATTTCAAATATTATTAAAAACGACCAGTGAAAGGAGAAAACGCTCTAAAACTCGACAGCTATAAGTCTCAGGAACTTGCCAAAGCAATTGCCACCACCTAGAGTTATACATTTATCACCAATTCGCATCCGGACAATTAGATTACAAACAAAATACACCATTTGGACATCAGCAAAAAAAGATTGAAAATACGGAAAATCATAACCTTCATCGAAGCCATTAGCTGAGAATCAGGAGAAGAAAGAAGCATCGAAACTCAGGGAAGGGGATGATGAGATGCCAAGAACAGTGATTTCGATGACTTTAAAACGAAGTCGTTGACTAAAGCCATTGAAGAAAAGTTGTGCTCCATATGAACTGAAAACAAAACCAACGAGATATTTCAAATATCAAATTGATAGCTAAACCGAACCGAAACAAACATAGACTGATTAAACATCAACAAAACTAGCAAACACCGAGAAAACCCAAAATTTAACTCGGTGACGTTATCGAAAATCATTTGACCAAAAAATCAAACCATCAATCGGCGATAAAGGGGAAATTCGAGATTGGTACCTAAGTTAATTGAGAAATTCAGAGCGAGAGTCGAAGGAGATCGAAAAGAAGAAGAAGCGTGAGCTCTCCCCTGGTAATAACAAGATTAGCAACAAAGAAGAGGGATCTAGATGATGAGATGGTTCCGGTGGGAATAAGGAAGAAGAAATATTGTTCGATTGTGGTCGGCAAATGAAAGAAAAAGAAACGAAGCATTTCTAATTTCTATGAGATAGGAAAATCGAACCGTAACAAACCAAAAGAATTTAACCGGGAATTGGAAAAACAATTAAAAGATGATGACCACGGGAAGAAGAAGAAGCCATATGATATGGAAAAAGTGGGAATACATTTAACACGATTATATCATATGAAACAATTAAAAAAAAATTATTTTTTACTCCTGATCTTTCTGATTCCTTTCTTCCCGTCCTTAATGATCTGTAAAATACATTTATATTTTATTTTATTTTCTAGATATAAGACTTTTAAATACAAAAACAGTGATTTAAAAATAAAGAGATGAATTTATTGAATGGAATTAAATGCAACATAATTAAAATTACAAAAAAAATTAAGTATAAATCATAAATTCATAGCTGGAAAAGCTAAACAAATAAATAAAATTAAAAAATAAATTAAGAACTAAAATATGTATTAGACTAATATTGGATAAGTTTGCCAGATAACCTTTATTGGATATAAAAAAAATTGTCTAATGAATAGTAAAATTAAGGGATTAGTTTAAGAAATTTGAGGATTGGGCTGTTGTATGTTTTTATGACAAAAAAGATTTTTAAAAGGTATCTTACTTATTATGACTACTTATAAAAATAATTAAATTGGTTAGGTAAAAAAAATTAAAAGTATATTACAAAAAAAAGTTTATTAAAAAAAATTATAAACAAAAATTGAAAAATAGTGAAGCATTTTAAAAACCTTTTTTTAATAAATGAAACTATTATTTTCATCTCTTATCAAAGAAACAAAAAAAATTGATGACTCGAACTTGATATACAAATATTCTTAATTGAATCATACATTTTCTTAATATTATTGAATAAAATTAAAATAAAGAGGACATAAGATTTATTTACAAATATTAAAACGGAACCCGCGCGTGCGCGGGTAAAACACCTAGTTGTTGTAAAAGAATTCACATTGAATATGAAGTTAAAACACTCAATTTGGAAGACATCGAACTTCAATTTCTCAAATTTCTCCAATAAATGTTAAAACTGTAACAAATAATGTACTATATAAGCCAACAAAACATTTGCATAAATTTCCAACCGTTTCTGGATTCCATACCATTTTTTTTCGTCTTGACTAAAGCAAGTGTACTATATACAACAGAAGTCGAAATTGTTATAGAAGCTAATAATGTAACTGCAAAACCAAAGAACTGCTGATACAAAGACCCAACCACTGTTCTTGGAAGGCCAAATGTAACAATACACTTTTTCTGTCTTCTCTTTTCTCTCTTTTCTTTTTTCACATTCTAATATCGAAAGAAGAAAAAATCCCTTAGACATATATATAACTTTTGCTACCAACAAATATTAACGTCTCACGAATTGGCTAAAAGCCTAAAACGGAGAAAACATCACTAATATCAGATTTAACAAAAAAAACGATGTTTCTCAGACAAAATATTACCTCACTGACGATTCTTCTCTTCCCAACTTAATCATTCATCTGTTCAGACTGTTCTTCATCATTTCCTGACGGTGCAACCGCATCAGCAGCTCCTTCCATGGACTCACTGTTACTTTTACTGTTGCCATTGTCGCTTTCTTCGATCTCTTGCTCATCCAAAGTCTTGTCGCTTTCTTTGGTCTCTTGTTCCAAAATACTGTCGCGTCCAGGAACATTTTTGTTGTCTGGTTCTTCCGTAGACGAGGCTTTGACTTCATCTGCTGGTTTCGGGTCATTAGAGACTGAAGGAGTGCACTTGCTTTTGCTGCTAGTGTGGTCACTAGAAACAGAGGGATTGTTATTGTTGTTATTACCATTATTCTCTCTGTTTCTTTGACGTGTTACCCACACGAGCTGCAACATGTGTTCTTGCCAACACTTTGCATTAGCAAACGCTTTCTCGGCTGCGCTCCGTTTCACAAATGTGACACAAGCTGCACGGTTTTCGTTACACGTTTCATGATCCTTGCCACTGTCACTCGACGCATTTTCTTCTAATTCCACTTTTGAGACTTCGCCATAAGAAGAAAAATGTTCCTTTAAGGCAGCAACCTGGAAGTCAGGAAATAGTTCAAAGCATCGGTAAGTATCAAATTTGGAAAGTTCGAAATTTTTGCACATTCATAAGGTAGGACAAAGGGAAGAGGACATACATCAGCTAAGCCGGTAGGCAAAGGAGGAACAACTTTGATGGTAGTGGTGCGGTTGTCCAACTTATACCTATTTGGCATAGGAGTGTTCAAACTTGCTGTATACGAATAAGGTCTTTGCGTCAAGTTTTTTGTATTGGGCGATGGCGTTTCTGTGCTTAGTTTAGCGGCGGAAAGTGGTTTCTGGATAGGCACTTTTTTATCTGTCGATGAATCTGTTTTTGGTGATGAGACTGCACCATCGGAAGTAGAGGCTGTCTCTACTTTGACACGCTTAGCATCTGGCTCATCTGCTTCCTCGCCCTTGACAACCGTACCCTGAGAAAATTTAGAGCAAATTAGTTTCAACTCCATCCATGTACTATTAAGCAAGACATGGTCAATAATTTTGTTTCTAGTTTATATAAATCATTAGCTAAAACATCCTAAAGCAAAAATAAAAATATCACGGCACACGTATGTCTACTCAATTTTTATATTATAATCAGATATCAGATCTGCACTTATCTAGCATTTTACTGGTCTTCAACTTCCCAAAAGATACTTCTGAGATTCAAATCCTCAGAACTCATACTTCTACTTCTGCTTAACTTTCTAGTGACTGCTTAATTGTAATTTCCTTCAAACAGGTATCAAAGTGACTGAAAAGAGATTCGGTTAATTGTTCTTACTTGTTTTTGAAGTGTCGCCAATTTCTTGCGGAACTCGTTACGTTTCTGCTCCAGCATTTCCTGCTTTTTCCGAAGTGTCTCCTTCAACCGCTCAAGAGTGTCCGTCTTTTTCTGCTGAAGCGGCGTAACCTTGGGACCACTACTGGCCACCACAGGCTTAGGGAGTTCAGAGGAGGATGGAGCTCCACCAGTGTGGAAGGCAGGACCCTTTGCAATGGAAGATACATGGTTGCTTTTCGATGCTGCAGCAATAGGAAGTTGGTTCTGCCCTCCAGAAGCAGTCATAACACGACCCTTCATAGGAGCACCATTGCCAGTGGACAAGCCATTATCAGGTATGCTATCTCTATTTGCCCACCAAAGTTTGATAAAGCGGTTACCCATTACAGCATCAGGTGCCCTGAGAGCAGATTCAGCCTCTTCACGTTTGGAGAACTGCACAAATGCTCGCTCACTATTCAATGGAATGTGAATGTCAATAACTTTCCCGAATTTCTGAAAATGGGCAAGAATGAGGTCCTTTCTGTTGCTCTCGTGGGGAACATAATTCACAAAAAGAGTTCGCATTGCCTTTTGCGTTGGTTTTCTTGTATTATTCATCGCATCATTTGGAATATTTGATGAATCAACAACTTTTGGGACACTTTCACCAACATGGTTTTGTTTACCGTGGCGGGATGAGTTAACTGAGACCTCCTTCAATTGATCTTCAAGACCAGCTGATGAATTTACTACTGCATCAGCTTTCTCTCTGAAATTTGCTTGACTAGAACCACGCATCCTACCCCAAACTGACTGACTTGTGCTTCTTGAGTCTCGAACACCACAGGCATTTTCATCTTGGTTACTGTCATCCAGTGGAGCTACGTTCTCATCAATCCCATGAGAATTTAGTGCAGATAAAGCACCTGAAGTTTCACCAGCACTGTTATTCCACAAAGGTTGATCAGGGTCGTAAAAATCAGTTCCGCCAGCAACAGGATATGCATCACCATAACCCGAACCATCTACACCCATTCCAGCCTCGTTAGTCTTCCCATGAGCTCCTTTAGTATTCATGAAATTACCAAACTGTGCAGGTATCGGTTTAGAAGAAGGTGCCATATGAGGTGCACCAGGGACTGTAACGGGAAGGTTGAACTGTGATAGACTCTGCACAAATAAAAAATGAAGGAAAAATTACTCATTTAAGCATACACAAGAGAAGAACAGTGAAATAAAATGGTAGTCAAAAGAATACATCATGCAATGCAGAGTATTTGCTACTTATCAGAATAGCGTATGGCTTTTCTGAGAGCCGTGCATAAAGTACTCATACTACTAGTAACATATTCAAGAAACATTTTAGAGAACATACCTGAACATCGTCAACAACAATGCGGTTAATTCCATGCTCCATGGGACACATGTCCCCTCTGAGGCAGAAACCACGTTCCTCAAAGTCTCTGCATCGCTGCCGAGGAATGCCCATGTTGAGTGGAGCATTCAAGGGCGGTCTAAGGGACCCTTGTAAGTGATGGAAACCATCCAAGCCACCATTTGGAACACCAGGAAGCATTCCAAAGCCAGGCCATGGTGCACTCTGAGCAGCTGAAACACCAGGTAGTCCCCTTCCTCCAAACATCCCCGGAGCCATAGATCCGACTTGAAGCATATGAGATGAGAGATCAACAGGATTAAACCTGGAATCACGCTGCCCCCAAGAACCATAATTTCCTCTACCTCTACCAGGACCAGAGTCCCTTGAAAACATTTGGTTCGACCTTCCTCTTTGATTATCATACTGTACACGTTGCTGCCCTGACGACCGCTTTTCATGTTCGTTAAACGTATTGCCATTTTCAAAATGTCTATAGTTTTTCCTGTACGGCCGTGAGAAAGCCTGATCTGAAGAATCTCGTTCCAACGACTGAGACCTCGTCTCTTCTTTCCTCCGGTGCTTATGGTTGCGGTCGTCGTCCTCCTCCTCGCTGATCTCATGCTCCTCAGGGTCACTCATACAGTCGGGTGGAGATAACACGCTTTGCTTTGGAGAGGAAACAGATAGCTCCATGGATCAACTTGGTTAAATGCAGAGCTTCTCGTCTCTTTATACAAAACTCTGATACAATTTGGTGTCCATCAGCTTATTGCACAACAAAGAGTAATATTTGAAAAACGAAATCTAATGTGCAATCAGTGCTCAACAATGACCACCTAAACATATATTTCAACAATTATCTCTCTCGAGATCCAACAGAGTGGATTAAAAAGCACGACTTCATCACTATTGATTGAGCTCCTAATTCCCACAGAAACTTGAAACCCCTAACCTAAATAAGATAGCTCCATAATAGTGATACCAAGCAGCAGAAACTTAGGGTTTAAACGAACCTAGAGAGCTTCAGAAATTAAGATTAGAAATCTAAAAAAAAACGGGGAAAAAATATCTTACATGTTCTTCCTGGAAAACCAATGACTCTGACGCTCTTCTTCACAGCCAAAAACCGGATTCAGGCCTGATAACCCAAATCAAAAGCAATGGATGGACATATTGGGAAGAAATTGGAGAAAAAAATAGTGTTGCGGAGCGATCGTCAATGAAGATTAAAATCCGCGGCGGAGATTATTCGCCGTCGACCTTACAAAATTACTAGGAGAAACCGGAGAATCACGTCGCCGATAGCGACTGGTCTCGTCGTTAGGGTTTGAAGGAGCTGCCGAATAGCAGAGAGAATGTAGAGAGAGAGAGAGAGAGAGAGAGGAGAGGGGCTTTTTTGTTACCAAAAGAAATTGCAAGTAAACAAATCAAGGCGAAGGAAGACAGAAACTAGACTGGAAATTTGATTTGCTACCCCCCAAGAGTTCTTCAAGTTTAAGGAATGACCCAATAATTTTATTTTATTTTTGTTAGTCTATCTAACTTAATACTTAATATGAAATCAAAATTTGAAGTCCTCGACTGTATGTTTTATTTTATTTTTAGAAGATCTCTTAATTTTTTAACAATTTTGGAAATTCTAAGACCAGATTTTTGATTGAAGAGAAAAAGAATTGTAGAAAACTCGAAGTGACTTTTGACACATGTTTCCACGACATCCAATGATTATTTGAACACAGAATTTCATGTGAATCAGGACAAAGACAAAGAGTGTGAAATTGAATAATGTAACGATCATAAAATACTTCTTCAAGTGGCTTATTCTTTCGGTATGTTATCTTCTTGGATGGTAATCAAGAACTTCAGCTGAATCAGAAACTAATCTTGATACTATGACACCGTCACTATTGGCTAGAAGAATGCATCTTATAGAAATCAAGTTTCTAATTTGGATCAACAGGATAATTCACATCTTACTTTTTTAAAACAAATTTCCAATAACGACAACATAATTGATTAACAACATGAAAAAACAATTCTTTTCATAAGCTTAACAATCTTATTTGAGAAGGAAAAAAAGACGAATTTATGTATTCCCGAAAAACCAACATGAAAATTAATAGTGGACACTAGAAAGTCCTCCCGAAATTTTTATCGCAACTCAATGTCTAATACATCTTGTGTTCGAAGAGAAGACTAGTTTACTTTACTACGAATTTTAGCTTTAAACAATTATGGACTTGGAGTTGGAGGTCTAGAAGTACAATTCAGCTACAACAAAAAAAAACTTACAAGAACACGAAAACACAATTCCAGCAAACAACAAATACTATCAATCACCATTGCTTCTTAATAGACAAACTTAAAAGCTTCACCATAAAACTTGCAGCTCTCCTCGAATAGGCTCTAAAGACTGAAGTAAGTTTTTGAACCTTTTGAATTAATCATCTCATGGTGGTAAAAAAAAAAAAAAATCATCTCATGGTGTTCAGAGGTTGTTAAATGGTCTTGTAGGTCTAGGTTAGAGTTCGAGTCCTTTTACTGCGACTTCAACCTTGGATAACCATTTCAATGTTTTTAGTAGCAAAAAAAAAAAATTTATGGGAAAACAAAAGATAGCTAATGAGAAAGTGTATTCGGTTGCTCAAAACAAAAGAGAAAGTGTCTTCAGTCGTATCATTATAACCTGAAATCAGTTTTAGAAATGTATGTGTATAGTTATAGACGACCAACAAACAAAATGATAGACATTACATGTAATATAGTTTGACTGGATTGATTTTTTTCCTTATTTTCTTTCCTACTTCACATTTAATAAATAAACACTAGTAGAGTACCCGCACGTTTGTGCGGTGTGACGTTGTTGTTTTGTGTAGAAAATTTAAACCCTAAATCCGAACCCGACAAAAAACCCTAATCAAAAAATTTAAAAACCCAAACTTTTTTAATAGGTCTAAACATGAAAATCCGAAATCAAAAAAATCCCGAAAACCCTGACTGAACAAAAAAAATCTGGAAACTTTTTCACCCGGAACCCGACCCCAATACCTAATCAAAATTTTAAAATACTCAATTTTTTTAATATATCTAAACCCGAAAACCAGAAATCTAAAAAATCCGGAAAACCCTAAACTGAAAAAAAAAATTGAACCTAACCCGAACAGAAATTTTCAAAGAAACCCGAACAATTTCTATATCTCTATAAAATTATGTCTCAGATTTTCACCCAAACCCGAACTTGTCTATAAAAACCCGAAAATCCAAAAAGCATATTCTATTGATTTGGAATTATCGTTAGATTATGTTAAGTTTTCTTTTTTGCAGATTTTTAAGAGATGGAAAACGGAAGTTTTCTAAACCATCGGTTTATTTTAAGTTATTATTCTTGTATCCAAACAATTTTTTCCATTTATTCTTCTATCCAAATAGATTTTTCTCTTATTCTTATATCCAAACAACTTTTGTTTCCATTTATTCTTCTATCCAAATAGATGTTTCTCTAATTCTTGTATCCAAACATTAGAATGTACTTCTCAATTAATAATATAAAGATAGTCAAGATATTTACTTAAATTTTAATAAAACTATATATTAAAGTTTGATATCCTAAGTTTCTAACTTCTCTCTTAATAATACTAAATATATTTAAGATTTTGATTTAAAAATCTTAGCTAGCTCCTATTATATAATATATAAGATACAGTATCTTAACTAACTTCCATTTTGACACCTAAAGTATTTCCTTTTATTTTTTTAAATAGAAAACTAAGAAAAGGAAATACTAAATTATATATGGGTTAATTTGCTAAATAATCATATTGAGAACACAAATTAAGAATATAGCCATATCAATTTTATAATTTAGATACTAACTATGGCCCACCTCCATTTGACACTTTACCACACAAATGCAAAATCACCATAATGCCATAACACATCATTCTCTCTTTAATTTATTTCATTTTATATTTTGTCTTGCACTAATCTCATATTAGCTATTGATTAAAATTGAAAGTCATATAAATAAAACCAGATTAAATTCAGTCTTATAGAACAAAACCATAATTTTTTTCTGCATGTAACATGTTTTGTTTTTCTTAAACGATCTAAAATTTTGTAACTTAATGCTTAATTAATGCTAATGAACAAATGTTGGATACTATACTATATCATTCAAAATGTTATACTATACTATTTACTAAACAAAATACAAAATAAAAGGAGAAAACACCCTAAACTAAAAATCTAAACCCTAAAACTAAACATCTAAACCCAAGACTTAAACCTAAAATATAAACCCAAAACACAAAATCCAAAATTTAAACCCTAAATCCAAAAATCTAAACCCTAAACCCAAAAACTAAACCCTAATCCCAAGATATAAACCCTAAACCTAAAAAACTAAACCCAAATATATAAACCTAATCCTAAAATTTAAACTATAAACCCAAAAAACTAAACCCTAATTTAGAAAAAAGAATTATAATCCTAAAATTTATACCCTCAATCCTTACCCCAAAATTGAAAAGAAAATAATTTAGACCACAACATATTTTTTCCTTGATTTATTTAAAGGCTAATTTTGGTAATATTGTAGAAAATATTGATTGTATTCTAACCATGAAGTTGATATGGCTATCCACTTAATTATGATTAATGATTATTGAGTGCAATATCTCATTCTATATTATTAAGAAAAGATTTACTTAAACTTGAATAAGGTAACAATAAAAGTGTATCACTTTGTTATAACCCTACAAGATTTGCGTCAATTGAGTTCCAGTAATATTCTATATGATCTTGCAAAGCATAATAAGACCTTTCGTATCTACTTCCTTTGTCTTCACTCACTCCTTGGATTGATCTCTTCGCTCTTTGATCACTTCCCGTCGGAGGGTTTATCGACAATTCGATTCTGATAATGGATGACGACGATCATATGAGCTTCGGTGACGAGGAAGATTATGGTTACTCCTCCGACGATCTTCAGGACCCTGAAGTGGAAGAGTCCGATTTGAAACAATCGTCGTCCAGAAAACCAACGAGCCATGTCATCACGAAGGAATCGCTTGTAGCGGCACAGAAGGAAAACTTGGATAGGGCTATGGAGTTGTTACTGGTCAAGGAGAGCCAAGCGAGGACTCTTCTTATTTATTACCGGTGGAACTTTGATAAGTTGTTCGATGTTTTTGTCGACAGCGGCAAAGAGAGTATGCTTAACTTGGCTGGTATTACCGTTTTTGACCCTTCCTTGATGAATTCTGGACACGCTTCGAAGAAGACGACGAGGATGAGTTGTGACATATGCATAGAAGACGGCATACCAAGTCATGCGATGACGAGGATGGAGTGTGGTCATTCTTTCTGCAACGATTGTTGGAAGGAGCATTTTACTGTGAGGATCAATGACGGTGAGAGCAAAAGGATCAAGTGTATGGCTCATAAATGCAACGCGATTTGCGACGAGGGCGTTGTTAGGAAGCTAGTGAGTCCGGAGTTGGCTGAGAAGTTCGACCGTTTCCTCTTTGAGTCGTACGTTGAAGACAGCGATAGGATCAAGTGGTGTCCGAGCGTGCCGCATTGCGGTAACGCCATAAGAAAAGAGGACGGCGAGGGAGAGGTGGAGTGTTCGTGTGGTCTCCAGTTCTGTTTCGGGTGTCTCGGCGAGGCTCACTCTCCTTGCTCTTGTCTCATGTGGAAGCTATGGAGCAAGAAGTGTGCAGATGAGTCGGAGACGGTTAACTGGATAACCGTCAACACAAAGCTGTGTCCCAAATGCATCAAACCTGTTCACAGGATATCTGGATGCAATCTCATGACATGTATCTGTGGGCAGCATTTTTGCTGGTTGTGTGGTGGAGCAACAGGAGTGGACCATACTTGGACGAGTATCAGGGGTCATAGTTGTGGTAGGTACAACGATGAGCAAGCGAGGCAGTTGTTGGAGAGAGCGAAGAGAGATTTAAACAGGTACACTCATTATTACCACCAATACAAAGCACATACTGATTCAGTAAAGAAAGATGATGAGCTTAGGAAGAGTATCCTTAAGAAGGCAGTGTCGAATTCAAAGACGAAGAAGAATCATGCTGTGTTTAACGATTACAATTGGGTTATCAAAGGAATGGACCTGTTGTTCAGATCAAGAAGGATACTTTCGTATTCGTATCCTTTTGTGTTCTACATGTTTGGGGAAGAGCTGTTCAAAGATGAGATGAGCGAGAAGGATAGAGAGCTAAAGAAGGTCCTGTTTGAAGATCAGCAGGAGCAATTTAAAAGTGACATTGAGAAACTTTCCGAGGCTTTAGGAAAGCCTTTTGATGAGTTTGATGACGCTCAGGTTTCGAAGATGAAGAAAGAAATCAATGATTTGGGTAATGCGGTTGATGCCAAATGCAAGAGAATGTATGAGTGCATTGACAAAGACTTGTTGGGTCCAAGTAGTTTTGGGTTCCAACACAAGATTGCACCTTACAGATCAGAGGGTATTGAGAAAGCAATTGTGTTTTCGGATTCCGGCTTAAGCGGAGGAGAAGACTTCTAGTTGTTGAGTAATGTTCAGGAGAAGACAGCGAGTTCAGAGGATCATTACTCAACAACTAGAAGTCTTCGTAGCATAAACCAAATTAATTTGTTTTTAGTTTTATTTTTCTCGTTTTAATATGTTTTGATTCGTAAACAATGCAGAAAACAAATTTATTTTGTTCTTTCTTCTGTTTTTTTTTTATCAAATTAAGGTTGAGTTATCTCTTCTTCTTCATAGACTTATGGTATCCATCACTTTCATGAAGTAGAAATCCATGAAGAAAGAAAAAAAAGAAATAGATTGCAATTGTATATGATGATGAGTTAGATACCTATGTTATGTATTATGTTACTCCAAATTAGCGTGATTACTGCTCTAAACTTTCTTTCAGATGCAGTATATATGACTATGAATGAGATAGAAATTTCACTTATTCCTCTGTTACAGGGAAGTGAAATATTTACTTCAACCCACTAATACTTGTACCATTTTCTCTCTAGGATGAGTTTAGTGTTGTTGGCATGTAAATGAGAAAGTCACAGAAAAGAGAAGATGCTTTTAAATCCAAGAAAAGAATCAGAGTCACTGGACTTGTTACCTGGAAGTATCGAGCCGAATGCTTTCTTCTGCTCAAAGTTGGTGCTGGTTCTCTTTGCCATGGAGATATCAAAAGACAGCATTTCTGAAGTAGCACCAGATGTGATGCTTGGCTTTTTAGCAGAAGGACTAACCATTGATCCGTATGCTCTATACGGACTTATCTCTGCGTTTCTTCCTTCTTGAAAAGAGATGGTTATAGGATCCTCGACTTTTGATGTGGCCAGTACCGGGGAGTTCTTGGACCTTTTCCTTATGTAGTTGAATATTGTTTCACCTGAGAATGGTGTTTCTGTTTTCCCTGGTTTTCAGAGTAATGAAAGGTAATAGTTAGAGTTTAAGCAAAGAGTGTGTGTAAATTACGCCAAAGTAAACTTGAAGATGTCTGTTTTCCCTCACCATTTTGGTCTGCGAGGCTTGCATAACCTGGGGTAGTAATTTTCTGTGGGCTTTGTTTGATGTCTCTAGTGTTTGTAGTTGAGCCAAGCACAGAATCATAGTAAAATAGAGGATCGAGTTCAGGAGAATTCTCTACTAAGCTCTTCCTTTTCAGAGTTGATCTTTCTGATGCTGGAGAGGTTGGATTCAGAGTGCTCAATGAAGGGAAACACTTTGCTTTCTCACGTATGTGGTCAAAGACTGTATGTTCGTTGATAATGACGCAGTCGTCTTCTTCCATCGTCACATAGGGCTCTTTCTCTGCAAAGGATTTTTGGGTTGGAACAATGGTTAACTAAATGGAATACAACGCACACAAAAGAATATTGTGACAGATTAAAGATTTGTATTGAACATCTTACCTTCTTCTGAATCTTCATCTAAGAGCTTGAAACTCGGCCTGCAAAATTAACATGGAGAGGACAGAGTCTTATCATGATTTTTTTTTTGTGTATTTACGTATACTGGAAAGAATCGTTAGTAAGAAATTTTCTAAGCAAGAGAAAATGTTCTCACATGTCATCTTTGTTGTCCTTTCGGTTTGAAGGTCCAGGTTTCACTGGTTTGTCATCATCTACTATGCAGACATCCCCCACAGGAAGATAACAGTGAGGCATCCTGTTTTCGCTTTTGTAATTTGTTTTGCTGTTGTTTGCCTTCTTCAGTAGAAGTGTTTCATGGAGATCAATACCAACTATAAAACAAGACATTTGAAGTTAACAGACTTGCTTAGTTACTTTGTGTTTCAGTGTCTCACTCTCACTACATGGTAATCAACTTTTGCTAGAAGACTTAACTGTATTCTTCGAAGATGAGATCAGCCTTCACAGTCACTTTTGCTTGTTGAGGCCTTTCCACGAGTATGGTGACGCTATAGGGACTAGAAACAGAACGCAACAAATCAGGAAAAGATTAAACTATTGCCAATCTTAAACCAAACTAGACGAAGAGTTGCATTGAGTTAATGATGATAGAACATACCTGGAGAAGTCTTCCATTCTGCTACCATAAAAAATATCACTAATTAGTTACCCAATTACATGAATGTGTAAAAGAGGCTTGATAGAATTATGTGAAACACGAGAACATTGGTGAAAAGTCATCCTAAAAGCAAATTTGTTATCAGAAGAATCATTATGGTTTATAGTTGGTTAAGTGTTCTGCTCATCACCTTATTTTCTCATGAAAGTGGATAAGATTTTCTTCCTCTGAACCAACAATCTGCAAGAAAAGGATAGAGATTAGTAGCTCGTATAGTAGTTACCTTTTGGTCATGAGCAAATCACGATACTATGAAGAAAAAGGAAGATGCAGGTACAGTATCTTCAGTAGAGCTAAAAGAGAAAACCAACCATGTCTGCATAATGGCGTTTTGTGGATTGGAGAGGTTGTGAAAGCCGTGTCAATGTGACTGCAAGTTTAGATACCCCTTGCTTCTGACATTCAACTTCCTCGACCTTTATTTCTACTTTTGGAGGTAGGGAAGATAGAGACTCCTTGATATGATTTCCGAAAGGATATTTTCGACCCGTAACAATCTCAATCCTTCTCGGATCAGCTTCAGCAAGAGCTTCAAATGACTTGACTCCCATCGAATGAAGCGCCTAGCAAAATAATGCATTCAGACAAAAGGTACCAAGAAACAAGAAAGATAAGGTGCAGTGAGCGAGCTTATAAAGAGCAGACAGAGATTAAACCTTTGCTGTAACCATTCCAATGCCAGGCAATTGTTTCAGCAGATAGGGACTATCGTCCCAGAGCTTTTGATAGAGTGATTTTGCTAGAAGAGTTGAGCTAATCGTTCCTTTATAATTCTTTTTGTATATATAGTACTCTTTCATGCATCTGGCTATTCTTGATCCATTCGAGCATATCGAGTTAGCGTCCTGAGACAAAAGATCCAATGTTCAGATGAAGAGCTAAGAAGTAAGGGTGATCAAGTGATTATAAGGAGCCATGAATATAAGATTGGTGGACCTGAGTCATGGATAAGTCATGGACTGAAGGATCCCCAGTCAACCAATCATTTGCAAGCACAAATAGTTTCTCTTCTCTGGTTTGAATACGTTTTTTCCGCTTTCCTTTGTTATCGTCGATGTGGAATCTGAGACGCCCTTCCTTATCTGCGTTTACATCATTTAAGGTCTTCTTCTCATTGCGTCTCAGCTGTATCCCTTCAATTTATCAAGATAAAAAAACTTAGTTTATTCATCAAGTAAGAAGAGTAATGTACCAAAAGAAGATTTGACATACAAGATATCTCTTCAGCACGGCATACAATGTGAAGAGCCTCGTCCAAGGTATAGCCCGTTGGCGCATTAATAATGTACTTCATGGTGTCAAACTTTAGATAATACTTTGTCATTAGCCTTCCGGGCTCTGAACAAGATAACAAGAGTCAGTTCTATTTTGAAAACAAAGATATGCAGTGCAATCATAAATCTCAATACCTTCTGGTTTCAAAACAAAACCGTCCGTGTCAGTCCAGATCATCTGATATTGTGACAGCTCATTGATCTTCTGAAGGCAAAGCTCTGGTAGGACCTAAGAAAATTGAGTACTTCAAAAAGGAAAAAAATGAGTAAACTAACTAAGTCACTTGGGCACCTTGCAAATGCTTCTCTACTCGATCTTTAGGAATTCCGTTTTTAATTGCATAATTCTCTGGATTCTGTCCATAAGAACTTCAAAGTTAGTAATACCATATATGATGATAAACCAGTCGTGGGACAAATCATTGAGAGAGCATATGAACGTGCCTTTTTCATTCTGACATACAAGTATGAGCACTTCATCCACTCGATTGCCCGTGTAACGTCAGAGACAGTAAGTTGAACTATTTCTGCAGTTAGGTGCTCTATCAAGCATGGCAGCAATCTGAAACAAAAATAAAAGAAGAAAAATATTTTTTGAACTCAACTAATAGCTTTTGAAGAATAAAAAGGTAACGGGTTCCAAAAAACAGAAGTCTATTGGCCAATACATACTGTGATTCAACAACCTCGCATCCATTCAAGAGATTCTCATATAGATGCACCTGCGATCATTTAATAAACCAGAAACAGAGAACATAAGAGAAAAGTAAAAAGTAAAGTCAAAGATTCAGGAACAGAGAAAAGTTTCAGTAAATAACCGTCTCTCTTCTAGTCATGATAATAATCATTCCCGTGTCATCAAATGGAGGCCGACCAGCCCTGCCACACATCTAGAAAAAGAGAAATTACTTATCCTGCTAGCAATATAACTGAGAGCTAATTTCAGCGACCTATGCATATAATCAGACTACATTATTACATCTAGACAACTACAAATGCTCGAATAACATACCTGTAGTAGTGTGGAACGATCATATTCCATGTATTGACCTTTTTCCTTGTTGCTAAAAGGAAAAATATGTCAGCGGATACTAACGTCAGTTCCAAATAAATACTCAATGGAATTAGCAACGCTAAGACGTACAAATGCTGAGTTGATTTTATGACGACTGTATGTGCAGGCAGGTTGATTCCATGAGCAAGAGTGTTGGTTGCGCAAAGAACTTTGATATCTCCACTAAGGAAGAGTCCTTCTACGAGGCTGCGGTCCTTTTGGCAAAGACCACCGTTGTGATAACCAACTAATTGGGACATTGCGGTGCTATTCAGCTTTTAGAACAATGCGGAACCAAATGTAGATCAACAAGAGAAACAGACCATACCGCCTTGGAGAATATAAGACTGCATTTGTTTGTCACTGCACATTGGGGAAGCTTCCCTTAATCGTTCCAGCTGCTCTCTGCTTTTAACAAATGGATTTGAGTAGCCAAAGGTCATTGCAGTCTGAGCAAGCTTTTGTGCAGCTTCTTGAGCGCCTTTTCGTGTTGAGCAGAAAACTAAGGCAGATTTATCTTTCGAGTATTGCATTAAAATGTCTGCAAAAATTCATAGGTTTTCGCAAAAGAGTGGTGTAAGTTACCTAAGCAAGACAGAAATAACGGAAGAATGTCATGACAATAGCCGCTTACCATAAATATAGTTCTGGAGGCGCTGGATATGAGAAAATAGAAGAAAGGAAAACAAGACTTGATTTAGTTTCTGTACTTACACAAGTGACAAGAGGGCTAAGGCTATCGAAACCAAGATGCAGAACTGTTTACCTTTTCAAAGAGGAAGTCATTTTTGGCAGCAGCATAACCTGTGCAAAAGAGGCAGATAAAAGTTTCTTAAACTCATGAAAACAGGAAAGTCATTAATCGCTAACCAAATTCATCAACAAGAGCATCTTAACATTTAAACAAAAGAAACAAACAAAATGCCAAAATCTTGACTTTTGAGATGCAGAAGGTACCAAAAACTTTCGTTGTCAACTTAACAGGTCTCATTTCTTCGCCAAACCTATAGAACACAGGAAGGGAAACAATGAAGAAACTGAAATCATTTCCCCAAATAAGGCCATACTTCTCTGAAAAGCAATCCATAGGTTACCTCTTAATTCCTGCATTAGGAACCTTGAGCCATTCCCCTGCAGAATAAGTATTACCACTTTAGTTATTTCGAAGAAAGCCATTTTATTTTCTACTTTCAAAGCAATTGAACAACGCAAAAAAAAATGGTCATATAATCTGCAGAATATGACTAGAATTGTGAGCTACTTCTTACCTAGATCCTCAATGTTTGGGATAGTAGCTGAGACAGCCAGAAGACGTACGGAGGCTAAAGGACTTAACCTTAGTTCATGATTGCTAGAAAGAATCTTTATTCTACTGACTATTGCCTCGAGAGCAGCTCCACGCGGATCATTCAGCAGGTGAACTTCATCAATGAGCACAAGTGATATATCACTGAAAAAACCTAAGCCTCCACTAGTAACGCGATAACGACTCACTGCATCAAATTTCTGCAGTAAGAAAATGAAAACTACATCGGCACTAGAGGAGACACGTAATTTTGTAAATGTCATACATTGCTTGTTTTCCGGCTAAAAGCATGGGGAGAAAATCAGAAGCAGTAATCAAGTTCCAAACAGTAAACAGACGGAAAAAATTAAAATCTGACCTCAGGTGTGGTCAATATAATATCTGCGTCTTGTATATTCTTTGTGCTGTATGTTTCATTATCACCTGTCAGCTCCAAACAACTGATTCCCCATGAATTAAACTTTTGATTCCAATCACGGAGCTTCTCCTGTACTAAAGCCTTGGACGGAGATATGTAAACCTTGACACCAAAGATAGACGAAACCATCAATACACTTATAAATTAGCAGCAGTCCAATGTTGGCGTATCTATTGTAAAAACGAAGGCACACAAAATCTTACTGTTTTAAGAGCTCCTTTAGCATGGAGAAACCTTCCATCCTTAGAGATAGACTTGGAGAGGAGCCTCAAAATGCATAGTTCAAAAAGTACAGTTTTACCACTCCCCGTTGGCGCTGAAATAACCATGTTGATATCGGAGTGAAAGCACAGTGGAAAGCACTCGCTCTGCAGCGAGTTGAAGTATCTGAACACAAACGAGCCAAAAGCAGCACATAATACAAATTTAGATTCAGAAAAAGTGTTTGATAATGAACCAAAGAAAAGAAAACCATCATCATGTTCGAGAAGATAACAATCATTCAACCACTCCTTGACTAAGCAAATACATCTAAATCCATCATTAGATTAACAAAACGATGAATAAAATATGGATACCTGAAAGTAAACGCTGAGCGGAAATTTCCAGGTAAATCTGAGACAGATTTCAGCGTGTGTGTATCCATGACTGATTGTAATTTGACGATCTGCAGATTTCAATACCGTGACATTAGAATCGAAAAGTATCACCGCATCTCTATAGCGATAACTTCATACATCTATCAGTACATCGGAGTACGAACACTAATTTGTCATTCACGATCCACAAATTCAAACCGAAATCTGATCGGATCCTGATGTAGAAAGTAGAAACCGATGGAAATTTCAAAATCAAACTTAAGAAACGGATTACACTAGCGAAATTTCAGAGAAGACGTGCGAAGAAGTTACGAAACACTGACTAATCGAAACTCGCAAATACTCCAGTAGAAACCGATCACGCGCCGAGCAATTTCGAACAGAGAAATGCAGAGATAATCAGTCTCACCTTAAATCAGCTTCCAAAACCCTGCGCCGAGACTAAAATTGAAGAGCGACGTTCAGAGAGAGATCGAGAGAGTGAATTTCGAATTCATTGGCGTCAAGTTCCTTTTGACCGTTATATAGTGAAAGAGGCAAGCTACAACGCCGCGCAGTTCTCAGATTATCCAATTGATGATGTGGGGATAAAGCTTGGGCCTATTCGAAATTTGAAAATTATAATTGGGGTCGTCTGGTATATTTATTTTTATTCATATAGGTTGGGTTTAATTTTAAACTAAGAAATGAACCCGCGCGTCAACACGCGGTAAATTGAACAAATTTAAACTATTATTTAATAATAATATAATAAATTTATGATAATAATAAGAATAATTTTACAAACTACAACATGAGAGTTCTGTAATTACATATACAGTTTTTTTGTTTTTGTTTTTATGAATCTCAATCTTTACATATTTTCAAACAAAGCTACAGTAATTCTAAAACTGTTTTTTTTGTTGAATTAATATTTCAGTCATTCAAAAAAAGAAATAATCCACTTATAACAGTTTTTGGACTAATTAAGCGTCTTTAATAATAAAAAAATAGCATACATTTTCAACTTTTATTCAAAGAAAAATGTAGTTAGCTAGTTCTTCTCATATTCATACGCGCGTTGCATGAGCATGACATAATAATATGTAAATGTAAAGATCTGTTCTTCTCTGTTTCGTCAACTTGTCTATGACAAACTTTAAGCAATGAGATTTATTTTCTTTGTTCCTTTTTGTAACACCTTAATATTTGTTTATGCAGTATATAAAACAATAAAACAAGAGAAACCAAACTGGATTTATAAATATTCTTCGATTAACAACCCAATGTGGTTTATTCTTCCGATTAAGATATATGCACAAGAAGAGGAATTACTTCTCATATATAACTGGAAAAAATGTATATATTTGGTCAAGATGAGGAGTTTATATACACATTTTCAGGACCACTTATAGAACAACTTAGGAAAATCCACATTCTTTGTATATTTACAGTGTAGTTACATGGATGTGTAATATTTAAGTGCCTTTTAAAATAAACGCATATTGTACTTTATTCCTGCGGCTTTGTAAATGTCAAGACGTTGTTCGTTTTTTATGAGATCTCTCTGTTTCTAATTATGTAAAGTTGCGTGACAATTAGAAAGCTTTCCGAAGAAAAGGACAAGGAGAGAAACCTAAAGTCGTGGCCACTTTCGGTCCAGCGCAATGCGAACATCACATATGTAATGCTAATGCATACAAACAATGTACGAATTAGTAAACTGTAGTAGAATTTAAGCATCGATGGAAGATGTAGAGAAAGCTACAACCTTTGGACAACTCATTTAGGTGTTGATAGGCCTTCGACACACACCAAGAGAAGCAAAAGACTTAACAGTGCAGAGAAAAAAATTAAAGGAGCCAGCCGAGATTCAACGAGTGCATGCCGTTAATATCACAACATATCGCCACGATTCATCCCAGAATCCACTATATCAGATTCATAGGCTAACAAAGAGATGAAGATGACAAGACCATTTACAAGATTCACACTTTATTGATCTCTTTCCCCTGTTTGCCCAAGAACCATAAACATATTTCCATTTTAAACTATCACTCTCACTTCTCAATTTCGTATCTCTCTCTAATCTTTATAGATGTATTCAGCTATTTATATAGAAACACAGGAAACTAATTGCCAACCACGCTGCACCACGACGCTGACGCCGTCTTGCACGGTTTCATTCGTTTAAATGAAACTTGCTCTTGTGCGACAAAACAGATTTGTTTTGTTTTATCAGAGGAGCGACAGACGGCTCCTGCAATGTGGTCCTACAATATGTTCCTTAAACTTGAATACGTCATCTCCACGTTTACATGTGCGTCTTTGCCTTGAATCTTCAATCCTATATTCAACATGAGACCACAAAGACGATGAGAGAAAGGGAACAGCAAACCAACGATTACGACAATGTCAAGCAGATTGTGATTATGATTCAAGATTTTGTAGATCAGAAAAATAGCGAGAATAATAACGTATAACGATGACAAACGATGAAGAAATAATAAGAGAGGAGAGATGTGGTGACAGACGCGACGGATTAGGAACAAGACCAACTGATTAAGTGATTGAGAATCGAAAATCTATAAACTAACAACAACACTTGTGAGAGTGATTTTTAAATCTTAAACTAATGCAATGCGTTCTATATATAAATTGTGAAAAGATGCCACTATTGTTTGCAATTGAAGAGAAGCGTTCGTTGAATGGCATGGCAAAAGACATGACGTTTTCTGATTGCACCTATTTACAAATTATACCTTTTCGGTAAACAGACTTAAAGCAATTAGTTGATACGACGCAACATGGGAAGGAAAAGAGAGTACGTGATTGACGTTCTTGTGGTTGTGGAAGTGTTCATCGTTGAACAAAGTCTCCGATCTACGATCAATATTCTAAGCAAAACCTAGTTTTGGTCCCGTCTTGTTTTTTTCTCTTTCCCTAGTAAATCAATTATACTACCTGAAAACATGTTGCTAGTGTAAAGAGAACGTAGGGATTAGATCATATACGAAGAACAATTAGCAATAATCTTTACGGATAACAAATAAATTATATTTAAAAAATCTATCCATAAACAGTAGCTTGGGGAACAATAAGAGACACTTACCTCTAAAAGAAGGACAAGAAGAAAGGCTGAATTGAAATCGTAGGCGGAATTGATTCACAGAGAGAACAATTAATTGAAATCGTTGCCGGAATTTTTCACAGATGAAACAGGTAAACAAATAAACGATGCTTTAGGAGAAAAAAGTTAGCATTGTTATATAATTGTGAGTTGATGCACTCATGCATCTCTAATTGAAAAGAATCAAAAGATACGTTCCTCCACCGTGAAAAGATATATGTTTATGTAATTTTTAATATTTGTAAAAAGGTGCTAGTCAAAGGGTTTGTACTTTGTAGTTGTAGAGATGTGATGTTTCGAAAAAGACACTACACTATTTCTTAAGGAAGGATGACGACGTCAGCCTTTAGATTAAAACAACATCTCAACCATTAGATTAGAGACGCAAAGCAATATCAACCATTGGATGCAACTTTTTTTTTCCTACAAAAAAATGCTGACATCAGCGAACACAAAAAGTGGGGTTTGCTATTATATTTAGATATGCTATTTTAATGGCGTAATTTCATAAAATATTTACATGTCGCTGTGAATAAAATAGAGAAGCCGGTAAATTATCGCTCTCCCTCTCCGCCGGTAATCGTCTCTTCTTCTTCGTCTCAGATTTTGAGACTACTGCAAGTGGTAAATCTTCTTTCTGTTACCATCTTCAATTTATTCCTATCCGATGCTTTGTTTTGAGTGTACTTGTATTGTGCTCTCTTGATTTGTGACTCAATCCATTTTCAGCCGTTAGATCTTCTGTTAGCTCAAAGTTTCTTGCTCATACTGCGTTTTACTTCAGTTGTTCGAATTCTGTAGTTTGTTCGACTTTTTTAATTTGGTATGTGATTCGAACTCGTTTATTTTTTCATAAAAGTTTGAAAATTAAGTTATGGAAACGCAAATTTTGGAACCAAAATCTAATCAGGGGAAAATAAAAAGCTTCAATCTTTGGTTAAAAAGTCAATGCCATAACCATTGTTAACTTTCTTGTGCTTCTAGCTTCAGGGAAAAGGAAAGAGACATGGCCAGTTATGTGAATTCTCCGGCGATGACTCTATGTCCGCCACGCCTCTCTCCTTCAAAGCCACTCTGCTGCTGCTTTAGCTTAAACAAATCCGCTTCACGGTCATCTTTCTCATCCACCAGAAACGCCGTGGTCTCTCTCCGCCGTACTAAATTTCAAGCTATGGCGGTGGCGGCGGCAGAAAAAGAAGCTGAGCCTTTGAGAATCATAATATCAGGAGCTCCAGCTTCAGGTAAAGGTACACAATGCGAGCTCATTACTCAGAAATACGGTTTAGTCCACATCTCAGCTGGAGACTTGCTTCGAGCCGAGATCGATTCCGGAAGCCAAAACGGACGACTCGCAAAAGAATTCATGGAGAAAGGAGAATTAGCTCCTGATGAAATACTCGTAACGATGGTGAAAGAAGCTTTGTCGAAGCAAAACGGATGGCTTTTAGATGGATATCCAAGAAGTGCATCACAAGCAACGTCTCTTGAGAGATTTGGATTCCAGCCTGATTTATTCATTCTCCTTGAAGTACCTGAAGATATTCTTGTTGATAGAGTGATTGGGCGTAGATTAGATCCTGTCACTGGGAAGATATATCACTTGAAGTACTCTCTTCCGGAGACTGAAGAGATCGCTGCAAGACTCACTCCACGGTTTGATGATACGGAAGAGAAGGTGAAACTCCGGTTAAAGACTCATAACCGAAATGTGAGAGATGTGTTATCGAGGTACGAAGAGATAACGGTTAGGATTAAAGGAGATTGTTCGAAAGAGGAAGTGTTTGGTCAGATCGATAAGGCTATGGCCAAACTGGTTCAACAGAGGAACACTAGTGCAAGCCGTTCGCTTGCAAGCTGATGAAGCATTTGGTCAGCACAGGATTTGACCATTTTTGATGATCTCTGAAGACAATAAACCTCTGGTTGAAACAGAAGATCACGGCCATTGCGTTGCCTCAGCAAAAGGAAAGGTTTCTCCATGACACCGAATTCGATCAGCAATAAAGATGTAGACATCCACAAAACGATTGGATATGTTTTAAAAACTGTGGTGGCTATATATTTGATCTGTTCAAAAGTTTTGAGACATGAGTAAAAAAAAAATTGTTTTACATTTTGTTTCTTTCATTGTTGAAACCCTTGAAATGAAATGAGAATCAGACTCTTTGAATTTGAAATCACTTCAGGTAGTGAGTTTTTGTTTGATTTTGACGAATATTGCATAGAAGCCATAAGAAGGAAGATGCAGGAGAGCTACCAACAAATACCTGCAGATGCATTAATTAAAGTATTAAACTATTAACGATTGGCCAAATCAGCCTAGGGAATGAAACTATGAATGTAAATGTTATGAAGGCTTACCACAATGGAGCCATTCGCATTGACAGGTCGAGAAATGGATATGGCCACCTAAAACAATCCAGGGAAAGGAACGTTAGACAGATCAAGAACCAAGTGTAAGATAAGAAAACGATGTCAAAGAAGAGATTTTACCCTACGGAGACAAAAACATGGAGAATCCACTGGAAAATGACGAAAAATCCTGTCCACAAGATGAAGTAAGAGAACCTGAACAAGGGAAATCTCTGCACAGCAACACCAAAACCCCAGGATGATACATTAATGTAAAGAAAACGCTTTGTAACATCTTAAATGCAGAAGAGAAAAAAAAAAGTGTTTTTTTACCAGCCGGTTAAGAGTTGTATCACAGAGCAGCAAAACTAGGTTGCTCGTATGCAAATTCACAGTCATCTGTAAAAAAAAATTGCAGTAGAAAAGTTGAGACAGGGTTTTCAAGAGGTTCAGGTTTTAAACTATGCAACACAGAAAGTCTTGTGCACCAACGTATACTATTATATGGTAACGAAAATTCTTGATGAAATGTTGCGAAACTTACGAAACTCATCTCATAGTCCTGCAAAGACAGAAACGGGAAAATCACGATCCAATATATACTGTCTGTAAGCACAGCTGCTCCAGCACTCATCTGTTTTTCAACAAACCAAAACGCACAACAACGTTAGTGATCATCACAGATAATCTACAAAAGCTGCTATAATTCAAGAATCTTAGAAGTTACAAGTTATACACATTGACCTGAAATATAATCTGGAAGAAATGGACACACGACCTTAGCATCTTCGAATCAGAAGTTTTCCTCTTCTCGTTCTCCCCATTTATAAGAGGTGAACGAAATCCGTTCTCTGCATCATTTCCTACTTGATCAAAAGTTACTCTCTTGCTCATTTCCTTCTTGTATTGAAAACATCCATACACTGAAAGCAGTGATCCCATCTACATGTGATCAAAAATATTCAAACGAACACATTCATCAACACTATTTGATTCTGCAAAACATAAACATATTCACAACATGCAGATCAAAAACTATACCCCAAAGTAGATTGCTATCAACGAGAATGTCCACCTGTCAAGCAACCAACACAACAGATACTGAATCAAACCCCAAAACAAAGAGCATTTTCACCAATTCTTAATCCTATCAAGAACTTCAATTTCCAGGTTTGAGAGCAAAGGAGAGCTTACTGAGTGTAATAGTAGTAAATCCGCCATCCTCGGTAAGCGAGCCGCACAATGTTGCTCGCTAGAAGAAAGCAGAAGGCGAGAATCCGAAAACCAAGTAACCAAGCAGGATGGATTTGCCTAAGAGAAGGTCTCCAAGCATCATCAATGCACAGATTATTATCATTGCGTTCACTATCACCAACGTCATTACCATTTCGTCGCTGAGTTTTCACTGAGCTATCTTCGAACTTCCATAGAACGAACAAAGAAACAATCATGGGACTCAATACCCAAACCGCACAGAGAAACACTCTCCAATTCAACCAATAATCCAAGCTGGTGAAACCATCTACACTCTGGAATTTCATTCTTCTCCTTCAAATGATCCAGTAAAACCAGTTGATCCGTCTGAATATCCGGATCTTCGGACCCGAAAAACTCAAATGGATCAACGCCGATTTGAGGAAACCAGATCAAAATCGGCGGTACTCAAGTAGCTTTAAAATCCGAGTGATCGATTCACCTATAGAGAATTAAGTTAAAATCCGATACTTGGAGAATTTTGGGGAATTATGCTTATGTATATTATTCAGAAGAAACCAGAATTCATGATGAGATGCTTAATACTTACGTAATGTATGAAGAAGAAATGTAGAAGTCTCGTCTTCTTCTTCTACTACAGTATCGTGAATTTTGATGATGGAGAGAAGTCAAATTGAAACTTTGAAGCTAATACGATCGTATAAATCCTAGAAGGATCCGATGGCGGTGAGCGGTGAGCCACAAAATCCGAGAAGTCGGAGAAGAGAGAACAGGGTGGAGGAGAGAGTGACAGGTGGGGACCTCATCAGTTAGCACAACACTTGATTGATACACGACGTCGTTTCGTTTCGCGTGTTACCATATATAGGCCTAAAGTAAAATAGCTTTCTAAATGGAACTTTTCTACAAGGCCCATAAATATATTTAACTATTTTTAGTTATGCCTAAAAGAAATTTAAAAATTGGACCTCGACATGTATTAATTTATTTATGGGTCCGTAACTCCGTATTGTATTTGTTTAAGATGGAACCCAAGTTTTTTATTAGTGCATTTGTTCTGGTCATGTTATCCTTACGGCAAAGTTTATTTTTTAAAAGCAGAAAAAAACATTTACTAAACCACTTTATATTACATAACCATTTTTTGATTAAAAGCACAAGATTAATTTCATAAACAGCATAGATATATAATAATCAAGTTTATTATATTGCGGTCTAGCTAGAGACGGCCATGAGCGATCATCTCAAGCAAAGCAATCTCGCTCATCATAACTTCATCGCATCCATGCATCACCATCCAGCTATCTGTCATCGTTTCATCATACTCTACAGTCACACCACTTCCGGACCCGGACGCTGAACCAGAAGTCGACGTTGATCCTGACGCACTTGTCGTAGAAGACACAACTGCTAACGACAGCTTCTCCGTTCCATCGCCTAAATCCAAGTTCATCACACGATCAACGATATACGTAAAATCATTCTCATCATTGTTCTTGTTGTACTCAGACACCAAAACAGTTAATTACATCTTTATCTTTACCTCTCGTACTTGTTGTTGGACTAACATTTGCGTCAGAAGTTGCGGTCATGAGGGCATCATCATTGCAGGTAACAGATCGAATGTAATTCTGAAGAGTGTTGCTACCAAGTGAAAGAGAGATTTCGTCTTTTCCCTTGGTCCGCCTCGAGTGTTGTCGACGTTTAGTCGCGTTCCAATGGTTTTTTATTGTGTTCTCTGTGCGTCCAGGGAGTTTTCGAGCTATCTCTGCCCATTTGTTCCCGATCTCCTTGTGGGCTTCGATTAAGATTCTATCTTCTTCTTCACTCCAACTATCTTTCTGCAATATGCAACATAATTTATGTTTATATGTAAACAATAAACACGCATAGATTTATGCTTACAAATGAATATAAATAAATGAATTTTGTTTTTTGTGCTTTTTAATGTCATGAGAGAATCCAAGTAAAAGATGACTTTAGTTTACAAACAAGCATTTGATAAATTTTATAGTCATATTTGTATATGCAAACAAAAAAACAAAGTAATCTTCCATAAAACAAATGCTTTTAAAACCGTACACATGCTGACAAGTGTGAAAAAAGTTTGTTTTATTCTCGTAGAAGTTTCATCACAATGTATCATCATTTATGAATTTTGTGTAAAGTTGAATTTGATATTTTCTCTTCAAAAAACAAAAACAAAAAAATGGAATCATTTGTCAATATTTATAATAATATCTAAATTTTTTTTAGAAAAACTCACCATAAAAATAATCAAGATAAACATACTCAATTAGATATTTAATTTTTAACAATTAATGAATTTTTTATTTATATGTGTAGATCTATATGTATTATCCCTACACTGTAATGTGTATATATATATATATATATATATATAAAATTATACTATCAAAATCATAAGAAAATACACCATTCCATTATTTTATATGTCATTCAACATATCATACTGATTTATTAAGGACACAAAACGATATAGGTGTGTATTTATGTAAAATTCTATGTATGTTTCTCTAAATATAATCTCGCACACATATGCATGTACTATATGATTCATACAAAGATAGAAGAAATCAAGAAAAAAACCTTAATATCTGGACGAAGATGGTTATGCCACCTTTCTCTGCACTGTTTTCCGACTCGTCCTTGAAGCATCTTAGCAATCTGAGACCATTTCTTAGTCCCATGACGATCCACTAATTGCACCAATAGCCTATATTTAGATTAAAAAATTCAAAAAGTCATATATTAACCATAAGAAGCTTAATCATACCATGTAAACAAAATATTTATGATAATTCCAAAAAAACAAAAAAAATCTTGATTTTACCTGTCTTCCTCAGAAGTCCATTGCCCTTTGATGATGCTAGCTTTTTTCATGGCTTTACATCCTCTCCTCATGTGCAGTCTCTTGTTCTTCTTGAACTGATCAGTTTTTATCACAATTTGATTATTTTGACGTCCATTCATGATGATATCTTCCTTGGCATCTAAGATACCCATTGGTCTAGATGCAACATATAGATTAGATTCAACCATGGATAGATTGAAGGTTGACTCAATCCCAAAGATAAGTCCTCGGTTTTGATCATTTTCCCACATCGTATTATCATGCGGGACATGTGAAATGTTGGGCACATTCTTAGGATCAACAGTTGGTGAGGTGATACTGGTCATATCGAAAAGATCGTGGTTGTTGGATATGCGTTGAAGAAATACCTCGAAAGCTTCAGTGCATGGAGAGGGAGTGATGCTCGAGAAAGTATTTTGTGAAGATATATTATATGTGTGAGGCTGCATATCAAACTGATAAGGAGCTATATTTAGATTTTGAATGTGATTGGAAGTTGTGTTTGAGAATTTTGATATTAGATTCTTGTGGCAAAAATCTGTAGTAGAATTTATTCTCGATGAGAAATGTGATCTATCAAGATTAATCTGAAAAGATTGATGATGCACATTTTGCACACAAGAAACGTTCTCAGAAAGCGATGGGTGGAAATTTTTTGGAGAGAGATTTTCATCATACATGACGGCTGCGAGATGCGGAAAATGCATTTTAATCATTGACTCAAAATCCATACGATAATTATGAAGAAGTAAATAATAGAAACGAAAGATGGAAGATACACTTAACTAGAATGGGAAGAACAATTGAGTAAAGAACATAAATATTTGAAAGAGAGAAATTAACAACACTGCAAATCAGGGAGAAGCAAAGATTGAAAAAAAGGGGAAAAGCTGGGAGAAGTGTTGGTACTGGTAAAATAATAAGAGTTTATATATAGGACCGAGTGTGAAGAGAGGTGAGTTGGCAAAAATCTAACCTTTGATTATTTGCTTTTAATTAAAAATAAAAATATTAAAAAATGGTAGTCCAAAGGTGAAATTGTCACTAAAAGTTGTCATGTAATAATCATGAAGTCGTTATAAGGTAGTTTGTTGTAAACTTTGTAATGTTGCAGAAAATTCTTTAGCATGTTTGGACACCTGTTGAACATGTAAACATCATCATTTCTATCAGCCGTTTGATCATTTTTTTAGTGTTTGTAATGTCAATCTAACGGTGAGAACAATGCATGAGGTCCACAATTTTCTCTCCTTAAACTGACTAGGTCCCACAAAGTTCAGTTCTATAACATTGACCAATAAGTCAAAGATGGTTAAGAAAAAAAATACAATTCACTAATTTTTAAGGAATATAATAACAAATAAGATATCTCTAAAAATATGTTTTAACATAAATTTGAAAATATTTATTAAATAGAAAGCTTTTATATACAGATAAATCTAAAATTACTCTAAACGTTCAACATGAAAAGACACATTAGAAACTAAATGACAACTATTTAGAATAGAAAAATCCAATTTTGTAACTGAATAGTTAATGCTAAATACCATAATAATAATGATGATAGGATTTGAATCAATGACATTTATAATCAAAGTTGTCAATATGCACTGCTTTACAATTTTTTAATAAACAATTCTTAGTACCGTCAAATTGTCTTTATTATTTTTTCACTTTAGTTTTTACCTTTTTTACAACATTATCAATTATAAATTTCCAAAATAAAGAAACATAAAAGTGACATAAAAACATATCTTATTCATAAAAAAAGGCATAAAAACATATTGATCTCAACAAGGAATCAAACCGGAAAATAATTGTGGCGTGTGGCATGGCTTGAGATTAGAAGTTTGTGGGCCTTTGCATGATTTCCACTTGTGATAAAGAGGCCATAGATCCAGCATAAAACATGGCCGAAAAACTGCATAATTGTTACTTTTCCATCTCTTACCCAAAGAAAACATCACAAAATCCACAAGTTTTTTGAACCATCTATATCATTAGGAAGGTATTAAAAAGTTAGGGCACTTTCAAATCTTCATCTCCTCCGTAATATATTCATTTGGAAGGGTAGAATTTTCAGAATTTATTAATTTCAAGGCTGGACAGGAGGTTTAGGACTAAATATGTGTGAACCACAGTCAAATTAAATTGTCTGATTAATTCTTTAAAGAAGGTAAACTGACCAAAAAAACTCGGTTTGCTGTGATGTGTGTTTAGTTTACATTTGTTCCCTCTTTGTTTTGGCTGTTGTAATTATAGTCTGTTCTTGTAGTTTTTTGGTTTTTTCATCTTCTTATTATCTCTATAACTTCTGTCACAGTGTGCCGAGTTTTCGATTTGGCTCCAACATCATATTATAATTATTTTTAAAACATTTATGTAATATGTAAAATAATAAATTATGTTACTGCAAATAAAAAAAGAAAGTCGGAGTATAAATAGTTTATCCGTAAGCCGGAATTCATCTTGCGAATAATCATTAAGTTTATCAAAATAAATAAAATAATATTGTAATCAATAAGTCGGGAACGTCCCATATAATTGGAACGGTATAAAGAAATATATATATATATATATATAAAATAATCAATGCGGTTATATGACTTTTGAATCTTGGAAGTCCCATCTCCTTTATTTCACGAGGATTAAATGTTCGTGTCGATTGTCTCTCGAAAAGAAGCACAGACACGAGATTTAATATATTTTTTCTTGTAGAACCTTCGATTCCAGGGTCGTTAGCTCAAACAACTCCCATACTTGGATAAACTTAATATTACATGAGCTTTGTCGGAAAAAAAAACAAAAATGAACAGAAAAAAATCTTTGAATTCATTGGAAATTGTTTGCTGATTGACAAACACAAAAAAAAAACTAATGATTCATTAAAGATAAAGTAACTTTTTTTTATTTGTATAATTATGTTTTAGAAACTTAGTAGACTGATATATTATTAATTTAAAACTTTTAAGTTTCACATTGCTTAATCAGAATTTTTCGTCAAACCTTTTTAATATGTAACCAGTGCCGGCTTCGGAGGGTGGGTGAGCGGTGCGACGCACCAGGGTCCATGGCTTATTGTTTTTTTTAAGTTTTAAAACAAAACAATGAATATAAAGAAGAAGAAAAAGAGAGGGATTTATGTTTTTAAACAAAATTTGTTTAATATATCTATGTTTATATACAAAAAAAAAATACTAAATATTATGTTAATTTTGTAAAATATCTTAAAGCCCCAAATATTTGTTGGCACAGGGGCCCTGGAAAACCTTGAGCCGGCCCTATATGTAACTTTTTTTTTGTCAACTAAAATGTAAGTAAATACAATTAAGAAATTCTTTTCTGGAATTAGATTAATTAAAGATTTAAGATGGGTCCAATGCGAAAAACCAAACGGCCACAAGTTGGAACATGTGGTTGTACTTGATTTACATGCAACATGTTATTGGATTCTTGGCCTACCTTATCCATCAAACACACTTTCTTAACTCACATAACAATATGTGCCACAAATCCATAATGAATCGAACATCGATTGAGAACCCTACTTCTCGGCCATGCAAAGCTAGCAATCCACTAGGTCTCAGATTTACACACTACAATCCACGAGAGCTCTCGATAAAGACGACGATTATTCGAGACTCGTACACACGCCTTGTAACAAACTTTAAAGCTGAAGTTCTCTTGTATACCGAGAACCAAAACCAAGACTACTTATTTAAAAGTTAAAACCAGCCTTCAATTGGTCCAACCACTCAAACCGGCTTCTCGGGGCTCGGTTTAGCTCAAGATCATAAGTTTTTTTTTTTTTTTTTTTGGTTTTCATGTTAAGAATCAAGATCATAAGTTGATGGTCACACTTCGGTTATCATTATCACTTATAAACACAACTTAAAACATAACTTTCTGGCTGCCAAAAAACATAAACTTGTAAGATTCAGAAAGAAAAAAAATCTGTTTTTTCCATCTACTGTAGAAACTCTATAAATTAATTGATATTTTATTAATTTATTATAAAGTTATTAATATATAGATTTTGACTAATTATTTTTTTCTTAAATAAGAAAATTCAATAATAATAATTTTTAGAATTTTCTTCAAATTAAATAAGAACTTTCCATTAAACGTATACTTTCTTAACTTTTTTGATGTTTATATATTTATTTTATTGTTTACATTTTTTCATATTTGCCATATTCTTTTAAATTTCTTTTTTTTCTTTCTTTTAGTTTTCATATTTGTTTGATGTGTGAGAGATCTATATTTTTGTAGCTAGATATCTTAGATATATCTTATTATATAAAGTTGGATGCGCGCAACGTGGTTGCGACACATATGATTTTTTATAAAATATAGGATTGCGACATGTGTCACTTTTAATGTTACCTCCGTTAAGATCGTGACACATGTCTTGGGAAAAAGGGAAAAAAAATTAAAGGGAAAATTTTAATCTTTTATAATAAAAACGAAAATTTATATCATAAGATTGAAAATAATGTAATAAAAATACCTATAAGTACATGAAATAGATATGTAAACTAGATATCCTAAAACTGTATTGAATAGGTTACATTAACCCCTATTTTTAAAAATAATCATATTAGTACATAGAATAGGTATGTAAACTAAATTTTAATCTTTTATAATAAAAATAAAAATTTATATAATAAATTGAAAATAATTTAATAAAAAATACCTCTTAGTACACAAAATAGGTATGTAAACTAAATATCCTAAAACTGTATGGAATATGTTACATAAACCCCTATTTAAAAAAAATCCTATTAGTATATGAAATAGGTATGTAAACTAAATATCATAAAACTGTATAAAATTGGTTACATGATCCCCTATAAAAAGAGAGCTATTGCATTCTCTTTTTCTCATTCACAAACTCATCAATGCAAATTCAGCAAATTTCTTTGATTTTCTTTCTCTAATTTTAAAATCATGTCTTTGAAGGTTCAAGAGAACAGTGGAGATTATTTGACTCTAGGTCAATTGGATCGAAATCAAAATTATCGTTGTACTATAGTATGTGTTATTAGAGAGTGGGAAGCTAGAAATCTTAAAGAAAATAATATTCTTATGGGAATTGAGCTTCTATTACTTGATAAAAGACGTCAAAAAAAAAAATTACTTGATAAAAATGTTAGTAACATCTTATTATATTGATATTGATAATCTTATCATAACACTGATTAACATTAAAGTTTTACTTTAGTTTGAAACAGGAAAACACAATTCAAGTTTTTCTGCATCATTCATTACTTCAAAATTTCAGAGATCAGATGGCCGAAGGAAACATCATCGAAATTTGTAATTT